TTCCTCACATTCCTCCGTCCGCCTCTAGTTCCTGCCCAGGCACCAGCAGCTGAGTGAGAGAGTTTTTTCAAAGACTGCAGCCTGGATAATCTCTCCAGCCCCGTGGCAGGTGGGTTGCTGATTGTCCCAGATGGGAATGCTGAGTCAAGGGGGTTGGAAGTAGCCCAAGAGGCTGAGACCGATAGGTCACCTGCTTTCTCTCCAGTGCCAAATCCCACCCCTGCCCAGCCTGTCCCACCCGGCACAGGACAGCAGGGCAGGGTGCCAGAGTCTCATGGCTCCTGTTCTCTATTCCATTGCCTTGTCTGGCCCACTGCTGTATTTTTGACATCTCACTGGTGTGCTTGTGGATTCCTTGGCAATGAAGGCTGTGAACTTGTCCCTGATGAGAGCTGTATTAGACAATTTCTTGTGCTCTCTGAAGTTTGCTTAACTTCTTGTTGTGAGCACCAAGGGGACAAGTTCCTGCTGTGTGTTTGGTTTGCATCTCTTTTTTTACCCCTATTGATTCATCAGTGTTTGAGGGAGCAGAAGGACATGGCTGGGTTGAGGCTGAAGAGCTGGTACAGGTGGTGGTGGAGACAAGCCAGCAAGGGCAAACAGTGATTTGCTAGAGATATGGTTGTTTCAGCATTTCTACTAGCTGCTTGCTAGGGATACGGTCTGAAGTCACCAGGAGGCTGTGTGTGATGTGCCTTGGCGAGGAGGAGGATGCTGGGCATGTGGTGACAGAGCAGATCCAGGCAGGGCAGTCAGCTGCCTGACCACTGCTGGGAGTCATGAGCTGTGACACGACAAGGCAAGAGAGGCTCAGAGCTGGCATTACACTGAGACTGCTCCACGGGACACTGCCAGTGCTGCACGTTCAAAGGGCACAGTCATGAAAGAAAGCTGTTGAAGGATATTAACTATAAGAACTGCCTTGCAGCCCAGAAATGCCTCAGCTCCAGCAGCTGGGAGAGAGCATGGCACACAGAGAATGTCTCTGCAGGCTCATCTGCCCTTACAGCCTTCTCTAGCTGCTCTCAAACAGTGGGACCTAGCACTATGGCATCTGCCTTGGTACAGCTGTACTGTTGCTACATGGCAAGTTTATGACACTGCTCTTCAAGCAAGATAGAGGCTTGTTGGGAGAGTCCAGAGGTGCAGGAAAAGGTCTTTGGTATTGGGGATTGGTTGCAGGAGACAGTATGGCGCTGGCTGAGGAGTTGAAAAGTTAATTTGTTCCTTTGGGCAAGGAAGAACAATAACCACCCTCAGCATGCTGTGGCTGGGGACAGAGATCAGCTGCACTCTGTGCCCTCTAGGACAGGACACACTGTTGTGGGTTGGATTTCTGGGATGAAGAATTTGGTTTCATATCAGAACAGAGCCTGGAGGATCTCCTGTATTTTCCATCACTCAGGACGTCACTCTTGCCTCTGCAGTGGTTGGTTGGGTGGCACAGGTGTAGCTATGCAGGACAGAGAGGTCATCAGCAGTGGGAGAGGCTGGAAGCAGCTGCCAGGTGTCTGAAGCTGTGTCTGCCTGGTTGTGCATCACAACAGTGGTGTGACTTAAATGATCTGGGGAGGTCCCTTAGAGCGGTGCATTCCTGAGTCTGGTGGCAGCTGTTTGGGCGAGTAACTCTTGTGTAACTGCAGCCGTTCTCTCAGATGCTGGAGGGATGTGGAGGGAAGAGGTTGTGTGGTGAGGCTTCCCCTGGGAGCTGGAAATGCAAGGCTTTTGGGATGAACTCTGCTCTTGCCTCTGTCAGCCAAGGGCTCAGCAGCAAAATGGAGCTGGAGTTTCCTGTTGAAAGCACCTCTTGCCAAGCAGCAGACTGTAAGTGCTGCTTGGGATGCTCCCAGCTGGTCCTATCATGTAGGGAAGTGAGATGGGAACTGCTGAAGCCATCTGCCAGCGTACGTCAGTCTCTGGTCTTTTCAGTGCTCGAACGCTAAGGCACGTCCCTGAGTGCAGGGGAAGGAGGCTGAGATGAGCTGTAGTTACGCCAGATTGCTGCTTTCATACTCTGTTAGTGCCTTCAGGCTCCTGCTCACTTGGATATGTGGTACGTTGTCATCTTGGGAATGCTGAGGCTGTGGTGTGGGAGACACTGGATCGGTGCTGATGAGATCTAGAGGGGGAGGGTGCTGCTGGCTGGAGGAGAGCAAAGGACCATGAAGGTGTGGTGTAGTATCATGTCCAAGAAAGTTTCCAAAAGGGCTGTCTGAGGTCCTGTGGGGTGAGGGGAGGGTGTTAGCCTCTCTGCAGCCGGCTGCTGGTGGCTCCCTGTGACACAGACTTGGTGGTCTGGCACTGCCGCAGGGCCTTGGTCACTCATACCCTCTTCCTGCTGTGCTCTGCCTGTTCTGCATATTTGTTCCTCACTTGTTCCTGCCCTCTGATAAGGTCCGTCCTACCTTCATTGTTTAAATTAAGCTTGAGGGGCTGAGCAAACACTAAGACTTGATGGGCTTGTGGGGAGAAGAGGAAGGGTGGAGGTAGACTGTGCCATATGGAGCTAACCCTTTTGTGGCTTTTTCTGTCCTAGACATTGCTGTGGAGTTACTGCAGAAAGTGGCTCCCAGTCCTATCCGTAGACTCCAGAAGAAATACGTGTCTCATGTATCTCGGTAAGAAGCAAAACCTGTCCCTACGTGTCCTGTGTCAGAACTGGGAGCTCCAGTCCTACTTGTGACTCATTTCTGTGCCCTGGGCCAGCACTAGCTTTGTGCTTACGCCTGATTAGTGTCAAACAGGAGCTGGGGGCAGGTGGCAAGGACAGTCGGCTCAGTGGCTTCCTGACACAACCAGGCCTGCCTCAGGTTGGTCCTGGTCTCTAGGGTGCAGGGTGCTCCAGTTACTGGGCATCTGTACTGGCTGGATCTGCAAGCTCACTAGATAACCAGCTTTGAACCCTGGGTCTGTCTGTGACAACTGAGCCCTCACAGTGTGCCTGGCTGCAGGCAGGGCTGCTCAGCTTGGACCTGGCTGTGCCTGGGAACAGGAGCCAGGGCTTTCTGCTCTCTACCCTGCATCCTCTGTACTTTATCTTGCTGCAGCTCAGGACAGCTGGCATGGAGCTGGCAAGGCTGTGACCTACCTAAGCTATTTACTAAATCTCCCCATTGCCTGCATGGGGAGGGAGCAGCCAAGTTGTGCTGTAGTGGCTGGGATGTGTGTAGCATGCAGATAACCTTTGGGTCTGTCCTTGCCCTGTCCCACAGGGAAGCTTGCATCTCACCCTGCTCCATGATGTTGGCACTGGTTTACATTGAAAGACTCCGGCATCGGAACCCTGAATACCTCCAGCAGATCTCATCCTCTGACCTCTTCCTGATCTCCATGGTGAGTGGTGGGCTGGGGTGTCACCGGGTTGGAGGGAAGCCTGGAGGAGTGCAGGGGGTGCTGAGATCCTGTCCTTTGTGCTGCTTTTAGATGGTTGCTAGTAAGTACCTGTACGATGAAGGTGAGGAGGAGGAGGTGTTCAATGACGAGTGGGGAGCAGCAGGGAAGGTGGACGTCCAGACCATGAACACACTGGAGATGAACTTCCTGAGTGCCATTGTAAGTGGAGCTGTCACGGCTGCCAGCTGTTTCACAGAGTGGAGGCATTGAGGGTAGTCTGGATTTCTGGTTTTCACCCACATGCTTCCACAAAGGAATAGGGGAGGATGTGTCTGGGTGCTGGGTGGCCTGCCCTGACTGCACTGACCTATCACTGCTGTCCTCACAGGACTGGAGTCTCTACACAGACCCTCGGGAGCTGTTTGAAGTGCTGAGCTGGCTGGAAGGACGGTAGGTGTCCGAGGTGGGGGTGGCCCCTTCATACATGTTGCAGCCTAGCTCTGCCCCTGCTCAGAGATAGCCCTGCTGCAGTGGAATAAGCGGTTGGGATGCCTATGAGCCTCCACTGGGCTCTGCAGCTCCATTCTACAGACCTTGAGCAGGGTTTTCTCCAAGCCTGCCTGGGCTGAAACAGCTTTGATGGGGAAGGTCCACGCCACATCCATGATTCCCTTGTTTTTTATTTGCAGTGTGGCAGAAAAACAGGGCATGTGGCGCGGCTGGTTCACCTACACAGATCTGTGTGTCCTCATGGAGCAGTCCATGTGGCAACATGTGCTAGGCCAATTCTACCAGCAAGTGATGAAGGTAAGGGCATGGGAGAGCAGCTGCGTGGAAGGACATTGGACCCAACAGGCCGTGGATTTGCAGTGGGACTCTTATTTTCCCCTGGGAGCAGCAGCTTGGTTTATTCCCTGTTGAAAAGGGAAGCTGTCAGAAGATGCTGATTTGCAGCTGCACTGCCTGAGGCACCGCAGCCTGGTGCTGGGTAGTCTGTGCTCTATGCTGGACCTCAGCCCCACAAGTCATAGTGCAAGGGCAGGGTGGTGGCATGGAGGGAACTGAGAACTGTTAGCTTGTAGCTGGGGCGTTTTGGTTTACAGTGTTTAGGCCCTGCTTTGGGGAGGATGTGTGCCACCTGCTGTTAGCAGCTCGGCTGTCTGCTCCCTGGTATCCTGCCCTGGAGCTGGCAATACCTTTTGCCATCACGGCTGCTGGGTTCATTGTAGTCGTGCTGGGTCAGGCCTGGCTGGGGGTGCTGCTGGGAGGTGTGGGCTAACAGTTGGCTTCTCCTGCAGCTGGCCTGCCTCCTGGGTGTGGTGTACCTGACCGGATTTGCTGCCATCTTCACCTCCATCACTGTGGTGCACCGATCCGTGTGCATGAGGAGCATTACCCCTGTAGCTTCCCGGCCGGCGCTGTTCCCTGAGCGGGGCAGGTGCCAGCTGGATGCCCAGCCAGCCCCAGCCCCTGGCCAGCCCCAGCCCAAGCTGCCTGATGTCTCTTCAGCCAGCAGCTCCCGTTGTCTGGGGGAGAATGAGACGACTGAAGAGCCACGTCGTGGGGGCGTCACAGCGACTGCACTCTACCTGTGGGGCACTGTGATGACGGCTCTGTCCTACCCAAAGGCGCCTGACCTAGCCCCACACAGGGGCCTCCCACAAGGTCCTCTCCGGAAAGTCCCCACTGCTTGTGAGAGATCTAACCGTACCGCCCCCGACACAGCCCCCAGACAGCCTGGCCCCTTCGGACTCGACGTGCTCCCAGCTCCTCCAGCTCTCCACTGCCATGCTTGCTCAGCTGACACGGGCCCCAGATGGGATGCAGCGCCCAGCCGTGAGGACTGGCTGGACCCGGACCCTCTGGGGCTGAAGCAGTGCTTCTTGCACACTGCTATGGATCTGAGTAGAATCAAGAGCTTCATATTTCCCAGCTAGGAGTACAGGGCAGCAGCCCCTTTCCCCTTCCCTTCTAGTGTGGCACAACTCACTTCCTTGCACTTCTGGGACCCCTGTGGCTGCATGGGCCTGGAGGCCCTTGCATTGCTTCCAAACCAGCATTTTTGTCCCTCCACCCAGGGCCGGGGTGTCCTTCACTTTGGGGGCTGCTGGGACAGGTTGGGACAGAGCTGGCTTGCTGGGTGCTGGGGTGGGAACCTACTAGCTGCAGGATAGAAATTGGGTGCCTTTGGGCTGGGGTGCTAGTGCAAAGGGGTTGTTGTACCACTTCCTACAGTGAGTGGGTGGCCCATTGGGGTGTTGGACAGAGGTGGCATGTGGTATGTAGGATGCTGGGGCTGTGTGTGCAGGGTGTAGGGGCTGAGGCAGGGACCCCACTGGGGAGGTGGGGTGCCTGGGTTAGGGGAGAGAAGGTTGAAAGAGGGAGGGACGAGCTGGCTGGCAGTAGTTCCACTTGGAGGCTGTGAGGCCACTTCTTGAGAGGTGCAGGGGTGACACCAAGCAGGGACCCCAATGTGGCTGTGCCCCAGGGAAAGCTTGTACCCCTCTGGGCTTGGTGAGGGTGGGGTCTGGTTAGGGCTGTTCCCTTATTCTGCTTGTGTTGGGTGGTTTGAAATGGGTGCTCTGTGTGACCTCATCCTAAACTGCAGCTATCTGTGTCTGTGAGCAAACTGTGCCTGACTGCTTCTTAGAGTGGGGAGAAGGCACCTTGTCTTGCTGACTAGGCCAGCTCATCATGCCCCTTGTTTTTACTGTGGATTTTACACCTGTTTTTCACTCTTTTGTAGATGCAAGTATCTTCCAATAAAAGTAGTTCTTGCTGTGTGCCTGCCTTGTCCTGCTGAGCTGCTCTGTGCTGGCAGCAGGCCTGCCCCAGAGTGGAGCCCCATCCATGCAACTGCTCCTGCTCCCTGAGCAGTGTGAGGCAGATCCTGGGTGCTGCCAGTGAGCTCAGGAACACTGTGAGGCCTGTCCTGTAGGGCTCAAGAGGAATGAGGCTGGAGGGATATCTCATCTAGTGCCTGCAGAAGGCAGGGACAGTGGGAGAGGGGAGGTTCTCCATTCTTGGGAATGTGGGGAATGTATGGTCTCCACTGCTCTTTGCACTCCAAAGTCTTACCTGTTAATGAGTGAGCCCCAAGCAGCAAGGGCTTGGCCAGGTCACTGGCACAGCCTTCTCTGCCTTGTGACACAAAACACGAGCATCCCCTGCCTGTGTACCCTTGGGATTCCTTCCAGTCAAGCGAGGCAGCACCTGTCCCTGGCATCCTTGTCCAGGGTCAGGATTCAGTGCTTTCCTCCTGGAAGAATGATGGATGTGATAGACCCCCATCAGAGATCAGGCTAGACCAAGAGGGCAGGGGGTGCTATGCTGGGGAAGAATAAGTGCAGAGAGGAACATGGGCTGGAGGATGCTGCTGGTGGGATGCTCCAAACACATGGAGGAAGAGGTGTCTGTGCCATGACGCATCTAGTCCCTGCCTGGTGTACCACAAGAGAAGGGATGGGGCCCAGGCTGTGGGCAGGTGGCACTGTAATAATGCCCAGTCTCTTGGCTGTGCCTGGCTGTCACTTGGCCCTTGCAGTGACAACCCAGGGTAACACTTGCATTCCTGGCTGCAGGGGCAGGTTACTCACCAACTCAAGTTAATGGCTAACCCTGGGGCAGCTCCTGTAGAAGGTGGAAGTTCAGCCGTGCAAGGGTTTGCGAGGAGCCCTCAGAGGGGTGGGAGCCTGCCTACCTTCTCCACACTGCAGACTGGGAGCTGTGCAGGGAGGCAGCAGCATGAATGGGGGCCACGACAGAACACCGGGAGCTGCGAGCCCCATGTTCACACTCTGCTCCTCACAGAAGATGTGCTCCTGGGTGCTGAGCTGTTGCTTAGCCCTTCAGGTGAGTGGGACCATGGTGAGCAGCCAGAGATGGGATGATGGGGAGAGGGCTGGGATCTTCTCAGGTGACTGGGCAAGGGCTGCATCCTGCCAGACAAAGGGGATGTGGGGCTCTGGCCAGCGTGTGGGCAGTGGTGAGTGTTGCCCAGATGGTATCAATGGGCATGCATCCACTCAGGGGGGCCACGCATGGGGAGCTGCACCCCTGGGTGCTGCAGGGAGCTGCAATCATTTCATCTCTTCCCTGCACAGCACCTGGCCGTGCAGGCCTCCTTGCTCTGTATCTTCCACTTCCTTCTGCTGCCCACCCTGCCCAAGGAGCTGCCTCATGCCCAGGCCACCAGCGAGCTGCTGGCACGCAGCCTCTTTGCCTGTGGCATCTCCACAGTGCTGCAGACCACCCTGGGGAGCCGGTGAGCAAGGGGGATGGAGAGAGTGCAACTGTCACCAGGAGAAGGGTGATGCCATGGCAGGGCACGTCTCTGCCCCGTCCTAGGCTATGGGAAGATGGGCTTTGCTGA